CAGCAGGCAGCAGCTTGGTCAGCAGCACAGCTTGCTGCCGTGCAAACTATTCTGTTGATGAATTAACTTCTGTGCTTGTTGTAGCCTGTGAATTGCTATGCCAAATTGCGCAAACACCCACAGAAACGTTTCCTAGAAGCTGCTTGGATATGTATATGGCTTCCAGTGTATGAAGCAGTTGAGGGGATTAGTTTGCCTTCTGCAATTCTTTTCATAGTGTTCCCCTTGTGATTCTCAGATGGACTGTCATATACTTTGTTGTAAGCAGCACAAGTCTGATTTTGTTTTGAATATGTCAGTCATTCTGTCAGTGGTTGGCTTTAGCAGATGGGGACACAGATTGTAAACAAAGCGTGAGAGAGCATTCTTTTATGTATGATGTGTCAAAGAGTTATTTACACTTACAGACTACCTTCTGCAAAGGCAAACTATCTTCAGTTTGGCTTGCATAGAACAACTAAACCAGAGCATTTCAAAAGTGCTGTCTTGAACTCTGGGGCTAGCAAGACTCAAGCCAGAATAACAAGTAAAGATGGGCATTACTGGTATGTTTTTACTACAGCTCTGTGTTGATTACTGGCAGGCATGGACAAAAGGTCTCAGTCTCTCTCAGAGTTTACTTTACGAGGAATCCTGGTTTTAATAGTAAAATGCATGGAGTTAAAAAAAGGCTATATCTTCTAACCTTGGTCTTTTTAATTTTCTGAAGTCTGTTGTGATTATTTTTGGAGAAGAACAGAAATAATATTTTCATCAGGCAGTATTCACTAAAATTCTAAGAATTACCCATCATCTGGATAATCCTTGTATTTTTAGGCTTTTTCAGAGCCACTTGGGATAGGAGAATTAGGGGAAGAAGGAGGCAAGACTTGTATCATGATGGAGAGACTTTCCAAACATAATTAAGAGGACCTTATATTAAATATTTTAAAGTTAAACTGTGAGGTAATCCCTGCTTTTCTTGTTTGTGAAAAGAAGGAAAGTTTTGTATCTAGAGAAGAACTGTTATGCTGTGTGGTGTTCCTCACTTGAACAGGGAATTCTGAAATCGAAGCGTAGATGGTAAAAGTCACAACAGTGCCCTGAAAGTTGAACAAACTAATAGCTGGGAGCTGGAAGAAATCATTAATGTCCAGGAAATCAGTGACCGATAGAGATAAGAAGCTGATAAAAGTTGAGTTGCCAAGCACAGATGAAGGTTTGATGTTATTGGTTGATATCATGGGAAATCTAATTATTTGGCACGTGGATGAGGTAACAGGTAAGACATAAATGTCTACTGTATGTTTTCAAAAAGAGTTAATCTTGGGAAACGAGCAGTACTCTCTTGGACAGGATGTGATTTCTTTCTGAACAAGTACCTGAGTATAGACTGTGAACTGGCTTTCTTTTCAGTTCGCACAAAGACCGTGAGCCTTGTTACCGGTGGCATGCAGGATACTTTGATCTCTAAACTCAGTTTAAGGATATGAGTGGCCTGTGAAGCTTATTTTTTTTTTTAAAAGAAATTGCAAGGGAGTTAACTGGATATTTAAAGAGATTTTTCTGCTTGAGCTTTACTGTGTAAATACTAGAAACAACTCCGTTCATAATGACTGTAATGCATCATATATTTGGGGTTTATAATTCCCTTGGTATTTAATTGTGCTGATGTCTTCCATTATATTGTGCTGGTCTTTCTGAAGGGAAAGATAAAATGCAAATCTCGGCAACATATTAATTTCCTAATATGTGGTATACTGTGGAGGAAGCCTGCCTAGTGGTTGAAGCTTGGCCCATTAGTTAAAACACAAGTTAAAACCAAATTAGACCTTCTGGATTGCTTAATACAATGTTCTGTAACAAGGGATGTGACTCAAAAGCCTGCCATCGGACTATCAGCAGAAGCGTGGAGTGCTCAGTAGCTTCATTCCTGTTGGCTAGTCGTTTGCCAGCTGAGTCATTAGGGTAATTTTTGTTGTCAGATCTGAGTCCTCATCGAGTTGAATTTCAGTGCTACCAAGCTAGTTTATTTTCCTTGTTTGTGGATTGCAGTTTCTTTCCCAGGTGCCTTCTTACTTGAAGTGTTTCGAGCAATATGACTTCCACTTACTGCTTTGGAAGAATTAGGAATATTTGCATGTTTTAGATCAGAAAACAGAATGTTTTCTTGAAATGTTATGTTCACAGCTACTGCAAGTCTCCCAGGCAGTATTAGTATAAGAGAAAAAATTATTGCTGCTACATATTTAAATGTTGGGATTATACTTGTGGCCTAAAATTGTGTTTCAGTGACTCCCATCATAAAGTTCTCTTACGGTATGCATTTGAGTGTGTGTGTCTTGCCATTACTGTTCTCTAGGTTTGTCCTCTGTCTGCCAGTGTTAGATTGCCAAATATTTTATGAAGGATTGTGTTTGAAAGAATTCAAAGATACTATCCTCTGTGTTTTCAACTACTGAAAGTTGCTTGAGGCTAGTGTTGAAATTTCTTCCTATTCAAATGAAAGCTTATGTATTTGCAGAAGGCCAATGTAATACATCAAATGAATTCCATTTAAACCTTGAAAATAGTCTTACCAGCAAATTCCACTTCTTTGTTTTCTTGGTGGTCTTGATAAGTAAGTGTTAGGTAAATTTAATGTTGACATCAGTATTTGCAATGCATTCGACAGTCTGACACATCTCTGTTGCAGATAATTCTGCTGAAAATTGCTTCATTTTCTAAGCTTTGGTTTGATTTTATGTGTGATAATGCATCTTGTAATGTGTTATGGTTAGGTCATTTATGGTCATATAAAAATAGCTTACTGAAATGAACATGCTGTTTTTCATTACATTTTTAATGTATCATGCTGGCACATATGTATTCCTTAACTTTCCTGTCAGTCATGTTTATAACTACTGTACTAGTGTACACCAATCTAATCAAGCACGGGGAGCTGGAGTACCTCCTTCTAAATCGAAAAAGGGCCAGACACCTGGAGGTGCTCAGTTTGTTGGTTTGGAATTGTACAAACGGCTAAAAGAATTTCTGAAGAACTACTTGACAAATCTCCTTAAGGTAAGATGGCACATTTGTTCAATCTGCATTTGTAGTAGCAATATGAGCTGTGTTAAAAAAAAAAAAGCTTGTTTCAACAAACCTGGAGGTGTATGCAGCCACTGGAAGGAAATTGAATGATCTTGAAATTTGCTTTTGTCTCCGTTAGCCATTAGAAAGTCTTTTAGGCTTTATCTCGGGCATAGATCAGTCGCTAAGTGTACTAGGAGCTGCTTTTCCTCTTCAAGCTGAAGGGGTGTTTCTGTGCTTTATAGAGGTAACCTTATATGCTGTCTTATGCAATCCTGTGTCTTGTACAAGAACAGCTAGACTTTCTAACCAGCATATTAGTAATACTGGAAATATGGTTGCCTGTAATGTGTAAAATGCCTGATGGTAGCCATTAATTTAATAAATAAACTACTAAGAGAACAGGATGCTGGACTGCTTTGTAAGAGAATGGTTCCTCGTTATTTTTGGAAAAGCACTATGCTTTTAACTTCTGGGATTTTAGTTTTGAGCAATATTAAAAGACTTCTTGGTGTTCCATCACCATCATTCATGAAGCCCAATAAATATGTCTGAGGTCTTATCCAGAACGCACTCCGGTTTTATTCCCTTATCCATTCAAGCTGTAGTGGTCCAGTTTGGAAAGATACTTGAACTTCCATGTGTTGCAACTTTATCTTCTTTTTTTTCTGTAAAAAGAAGAAATATGATACCATACCTGTTTCCAGGAATATGGGGTTCCGTTTACTACCTGACAGGGTCCTAGAGAAGACCCCATCCACACCCACTTGTTTCAGTTCCCCAAGTAGCGGCAGCAGGAACGGGTGGTGTGTTTTATGGAGGTAGTCATGTTATATGCTGCATTACCATTGCACTGGCGTGTTTTACCTGGTGCAGTCATCAGGGTCACTGTGTGTTTCTAACGTGGTGCCCTCTTGCTCTCACACAGGAGGCACGGGAGTGTCTTCTAGAGCTTTGTCTGTGCTGTGCACTTTTTTACCAGTGTTCTAATTTCTAAATCTCATACTGGCCTTGTGCTTTATTAATGTAGCATTGAATGTATTAGCACTGTGGTTCCTATAAATACACTACATGGTGTAGATTTATTACACAGTCAATTTGTACACCCTTATATATCTTGGTTGTACCTTAAAACTGGGTGCACCCAACAGGACCTGCCAACTTCTGTTATTTCAGGATGGTGAAGATTTGATGGATGAGAGTGTGCTGAAATTCTACACTCAGCAGTGGGAAGATTATAGGTTTTCAAGCAAAGTATTGAATGGGATATGTGCCTACCTCAATCGACATTGGGTTCGTCGTGAGTGTGATGAAGGTCGTAAAGGAATATATGAAATTTATTCGGTAAGTAGCTTTTCGGAGTGAGTGATTTATCCATTCTCTCTATCATGTTTGCATTATCATCCTGCAGATAGATGCTTGAAACTTGTATGAAGTTCATGGAAGTTTGGAAGAAGTGGGCTGAGTGGAAATCTGCCCCCTTTCCATACTCCCACCTCAGTATATTTGTAAAAATTCCATGGATCTAAAACCTGTGAGATGTTCAATCTGCCTTGTACGTATTTGGACTACCAGTATTATGCTGTCGAGGGTTGTTTTTTTCTGAGTATTTGCCACTTATACTGGTGGCATCAGTGTGGCCATGTCATTCCGCTTAGAATTCAGTCAAGTGTTTCAAATATAAAATAGAAAAGTAAATTGCTTTTTTTTTCCTTTTTTCTATTGACTTCAATACATCTCTACAAATTTTTTAGCATCCAAGCTGCTAAGATTCAGTCAGCATTTGGTTTGTAATATAAGTTATTTTGGTACAGTACTGAAAGATTGATATGTGATCTTGATAATTTTTTTGTAATGTAAAGTAGTATAAACAAGGGAAGGACATAGCAGAAGTTCTGTATCTTAGATAACTAAAAGTACTTTTTTTTTTTTATAAAGGATAATTATTGTCATTGCTGGTGAAGCATTAGGAAAGCGATGTGTTATTTTACCACTTCACTAAAATAACTTTGCATATGGTAGAAAAACAGTTGGTATCCTTACTTCCCTCCCTCTTAACTTCACTAGACTAATGCTAAGGGACTGCGTCAGCCTGAGAATCGCCAACAAAAGCTGTATGTTGTCAAAGTAACTTACAGGGTTTGTTAGTTTTTTTAGAGTTGGCAGAGAATCACTGTCAGAAAAAGGGACATCTTAGGTAGAGTTAGTAATAAAGCAAACGGTGATTTTATTGTGAAACAGTCTTGTTGCATGAGAAGTGTGTATGCCAAAATATAAAGGGTGACCTTATAGCGGTCTTCCAGTACCTCAAGGGGGCCTACAAGAAAGATGGGGAGAGGCTGTTCAGGAGGGCCAGTTGTGATAGGACAAGGGGTAATGGTTTTAAAATAGAGGGAGGTAGATTCAGGTTGGATATTAGGAAAAAATTTTTTACCATGAGAGTTGTTGAACACTGGAACAGGTTGCCCAGAGAGGTGGTGGATGCTCCATCCCTGGAGGCGTTCAAGGCCCGGTTGGATGAGGCCCTGAGCAACCTGATCTAGTTGGAGATATCCCTGTTCCTTGCAGGGGGGTTGGACTAGATGACCTTTGAAGGTCCCTTCCAGCCCTAACGATTCTATGATTCTATAATAATTTTAAAAGTTCTGATTACTTAGCATACTGTATCAGCTTTTGTAGAGCTATCCTGCATGTATATCTATATATATAAAAATGTTTTCTTTATTCCATCTTTCATCTCCCTTCCTTTGCTTCTAGCTTGCCTTGGTGACCTGGAGAGACTGCTTATTCAGGCCATTAAATAAGCAGGTATATATGTGTGTGTGTATATATATATAAATCTATATTATAGAGTTAATTCTATACATTTTTAGTAACTGTTCCAAAGAAGATTTGGAGGATGAGGGGAGTGGACCCAGAAAATAAAAGGGAGCTGTCTGCTGCTCCTTTGTGATGTTAAAAAGATAAATACTTGGGGGGAATGGGCCTTTCTGTGTGTGTGGTTGAACCTTGATACTGAGACTGTTCTGTTACCTCTTTGCTGAGAGGACCCTTAGCTTTTTTTTTTTTTTTTAAAAAATAAGTATTAGGGAGCTTGTCTTAAGTGAAGTAACAACTTCAGCTGTTTTCAAGCCAGGCAGGAGTACAGGCTGATGGTCATGTCTTAAGGTTTAAGAGTCAAGATTGTGTGAGAACAGAACACCTATTGACAGACTTGAGATTTCAATCTCTTCCCGTGTTACTGTGAATCCTCAAATTTACCCTGATCCTTGGGAGATTCAGGTCAACCAAATACTTTTATTTAGTGAACCAGCACAATATAAAACAAGACATTCCGTTGCAACCAAATATTATATTTATGTATGTTAATTTCACTCTTATTTGCCAGTACTTCATGATGAAAAGAGTGTATTATATTATGAAAATATTAGCTAGATTTCAGTCTAGAAGAACTACTTGCAACACATTAATTATCAGCATGAACTGATAGCTTTCTTTTGTGTAAAGTACAGGTGGCTAGTTCAGCCCTTACTGCAAAGTTTTCTTGTATTTAAGGTATAAAACAAACAGAAGTTTGGTTTAGGAAGTGGTTTTTGTTGTGGTTTTTTTTTTTTTTAAACCAACCCAAAACCAAGCACTTTCATACCCTCTCACAGCTCACCACTAGTGAGACTGTAATTACATTTTAGAACTTAAATGTGTAGTGTACTCTGTGATGTCTGTAGGAATTTTATTTGTTCAGATGTCCTTAAATTTTGTTCTCAAGGTACTTGACTTGTCTAGAATATAAGAATATACTCCTGGTTAAATACTGTGCTTGACCTATCAGCTGCTTTCTCTGTGCTTGACATACTTTTAATCTGTTTTCTAAGGTAACAAATGCTGTGTTGAAATTGATTGAAAAGGAAAGAAATGGTGAAACTATCAATACAAGGCTGATCAGTGGAGTTGTACAATCTTATGGTAAATGAGATTTCTTTGAGGTTTTATTACGCTCTCAAAAATAAATATATGTCCCCTGTCAGAGGCCAGAAGTAGCATTCTGCCTCCTTGGATGTCCAGGAAAGATTTTTACGGTAAAATAAACGCAGTTATATGTTGTTTAACTTCAGGTTTTGAGAGACATTTGACGCAATTTCAGTTGATTATACCATATTTGTAAAGCACGACGGATAGGTGAGAGTGTTCATTGTCTATGAATCAGTTATTTAGGAGGTAAATCTGGAAGAGAGGAAGCATAGTAGTTTACAAAGCTGAGTGGGATTGTTTTTCCCATTTACAGGAAATCGAGAGATTTGCCATGTGTATTAATGACCAGTTTAATTAACAAAAAACACACATGCGTATAATCTGGAACTCTGAGAAGAAAAATGGAAGAGGAGTTTGAACTAGCTTTTGAGACAGTGAAGTTTTCCAAATCCTATCATCCTTTTAGTAATGTATCAAAAAGTGCAGTTTACATGAATAATGTCTTGTGCTGCTCATTTTTTTTAAACACAAAACAGATGTATACTTTCAAAAGTTTTAACAAGTGGTGCTGATACTATCTCAATTGATTACCTTCGTGTAAGTTAGAAGGGGGATGCCTGTTTATTTGTAAGAGACCAGTTCATGAAAGACAAATTTGTCATTACTTGCTTTTTTTTTTTTTTTTCTGTAGTGGAGCTGGGGCTGAATGAAGATGATGCATTTGCAAAAGGGCCTACACTAACTGTCTATAAAGAATCCTTTGAATCTCAGTTTCTTGCTGATACAGAAAGATTTTATACACGAGAAAGTACTGAATTCTTGCAACAGAACCCAGTCACAGAGTACATGAAGAAGGTAAGTTGTTTAATAAGCTCTGTGATTATTTTCTGGATTCAGATATCTTTTAGAGGTAAAGTAATATAAATTCTTGACTTTTACTAACAGTTTCTTAAAATGCTGATTATTTCGCAGAAACAATTAGCTCCTTTCCCCTGTGGTGATTTGTTTCTATGTTTATCTGGTCTGAAGTTTGTCTCCTTAGTATTTCAGTAAGTACAGTGAAAGTTTGAAACTTTCTTAATTGGCAAAACAGAACAGAATGTTAAAATAAATTCAGATTTTGTTTGACTTCAGCACACGGAAGCAGTCATTCTGCTTTAGACCTACAAGTTTACTGTTCCTATGCAAGGAACTGTGTGTTGGCATGTTTATTGAAATTCCTTTCCGAGCAAACTGGCAAAGGAATTAGGTCATTAATTAACTTTAATTCTCTCAGAATATTTTAATGTAGTGAACCCTGCATGATACTTCTGATCAACAGAGGCCAGGTTTAAGTCCTTAAATAGTCTCTGGTTTTAGGGGATCCCAGACAGGGCAAATAAGAGCAAGCTGGATAAACATTGACTATTTCTAGTGTGGTTATTGGGTCAGTCTTACTGAGTGTGAAATAGATAGCTCATCTTCCATCTCGGACATGTGCTGCTTTATGTGTTTTTCTCAGCACATTTCCTTACTTTCTGAATTGCTACTTGTTTTTTTCCCTTTCATTTAATTTTAAAAGAGAACTTTTTGAGTATGTAATAAGCAGACACACATCCCTCCTTACAAGATCTTTGTGTTTCTTTTTTGTAACCCTTTTTGCCGCAGGATGCGTTCTGCTCGAATCTTGGCATTAAAGTCAGTGATTTACCCGAAAAAAGCCAGAGGAGGGAAGTCCTAGAAATAAGACAGTGAAACAAATCCTGCTTTTAGTGCACTGGGATAGTTGTCCAGTAGTTCTCAGACCTACCTATATTTACTTTTCTGTTGTTGTTGAATTCGTGGGGTTTTGCTGCTTTCCTTTCACTTTGTTGTCTTTACTTTCATCCTAAAATATATACAAAAACAGAGTAAGGGAATTTCAGTCGTAACCTGAATGACTGGCTCAGCCAGGCTTCCCTGGTTCAGGGCAGTAAAAAGCTGTCTGAAGGTCATTGCTATTTCAAGAACTAGAGATTAGTGGCAAGTAGAAAGAACTTATTAGTACCCCAAACAATCTTTGAGACTTGAAAAGTCCACAAAATAGCAACTCGCTTTTCTTGAAGCTGATGTTGAAGCTGAAAACACATATAAAGCTAGGATAAGGCAGGGGAAATCTTCAGCAAGAAAAGTATGTGCTTTTAAGTCTCTGCTCAAATTCATATCCTAGAGATGTGTAGAAGCTGTTTGGGCTGTCTCAGCATCTCCTTACAGATTGTGTGCATACATTGAAATCAAACTGAAAAAGAAGCTATGTTTTCATTACTCATTTCCTGGGATTTAACTGGTGAAACTGAAAAAGATGTGTATTAGACTCCACAGTAAATACGATCAGAGCTTGCAAAACGATACAAACTAAGGGATGTGAGCTAATGGAAAGGGAAAACTTGTTAATGGAAGCTTTGTAGCTGGTTCATTGGAACAAATTGTCTGATTTCTCTAGTCTGCATGCTCTGCTGGAGAAATCAAGAGAGTTTGTGCAAGTTTTCAGAATTATTAATTTAAAATTCAGATACATTTGTCCTCAGTTTTATCTTACTTTGTTATGCATAAGGAATTCTTAACGTTTTTTACTTAAACATGACAAGGCAGCTTGGTAAACTTTTTGTTTTGTTTTGTTTTCTTTGGGTATTGTAATCTTGCATGCCACTTAAATGCCTGGAACAGAGTAGTGGTCCATATAATTATTACTCAGGTATTGCTAGAATTGGACTTCTTTTCTGTTACGAAACACCTTAAATGAGACCGATGTGAAAATCTGCAAGTTGTGCAGCAGTCACACGGCATACCTAGTGGTAAGAAGGTCTTAAAAGTCATATGTTGGAATTATGAACTGAGAACAAAGTACTCTGGTATTAGTACACTTACTTGGCTTTCTCACTGAAGCACTGTGCATTCAGTTCTAATTGGGGATAAATAGCATTGCAAAATAAAAATAAAACCTGTTGGAGTACCTTAGTGCACACCAGCATAAGATCACTGTTACTATGATATGGTAGAATTCTGGTTGTTTCTTGTAGAATAGTCAATGAAATCTTAATTAGAATTAGGATATGTGTATGTAGTTATACAGGCAGACCTGCCGAGTTTAGAAGGATTGTGAATTTTTCTTCTCAGAGCAGAACTCATGAGTAAAGCTGGCATGGCCTGATGTGCTGTAGGGAAAAAGGTCAGTATTTCTTAAGACTGTCCCTTGAAACAGTGTCTCAAACTGAACTTTAGATCTTTATAGTTGAAACAGCCAAAGATACTGTTGTGTGAATTAATTATTTTTCCCTTGTTTCTGAAATATGACTTTAAAAGGAAAATGGAATTATAAGAATTATAAGAACACAAAAAGTGAGAGAGTGTAAGGAAATTTAAAGTCAGAGTGTTTATTTTCATAAAGGAGCTCAAAGTGAGAGTTGACTGTTAACATGAAAAGTGAAGGTATAAGGATATTTTTAAGAAGCAGCATTAGAAGTGGCAGAATTTCCTGAACTACAGAAATACAGAATTGGTTAAACATGAGATGAGGAGTCCTACTAGTCTGATTCCAGTTTTCAGAGTCCACCAGAAAGATTTCCTGCTATTTGCTGTCGTTAAGGAAGTTGTTATTCCTTGCTGGTAAGAAACTGGCAAGTACTCTGAGCTTATATCCCTTCCCAAAACCTTGATTTTGTTTCCCATGTTTTGACCTTTACTGATTTTAACTCTAGGAGACAGTAATCCAGAACCATTTCACAAGAGCTAAGTGCAAAATTATTACAGAAATGCATGAAGCTAACGCTGGCAGAGATTATCGAAAGCCATCTGCATATGATGCAGTTTACTTGCAGTGAAACAGTTTTTTTTGTTGTTATTGTCTGCAATATGATCTTTCATGCTTAGTCAATATTCTAAAATACTAGGAAAATGCATTAATTAAATTTCCTTCTCTTGGCGACATTATTAATTCAAATAATTTGGACGGATAAGGGGACATATGCACTTTATTTCTAATAATGTGCTGCAATTACAGATGGCTTTTACAGTGAATCTTTTAATACTTTTGCAGACAAAATAGAGGTAATTGTTATATAAACAACTTCCATTTTACCTTTTGGCGTAAGTACTGTTCCTTGAGTGACGTTTAGAATTTTGGTTTATGGGGAAGATATGCATATGTAGCATGTCATATGCCAAATTAAGTGCTAGTGTAATTTACATGATTGTAGATTACTGGGAAGCTTTTCTGTGTAAGAATGTAGATGAGAACAGTCAAATACTTTTGTTATGGGCATACTGTTAAATTGCAGTTTTCTGCCTTTTAGTTTTGTGGAGGCATGAAATGTATTCATGTTTGTCTCAAACAAAACTACCTCTGTAGCTGGAGAGCTTGCTGATGCTAAAACTGCCAGCATCTCATATCAGCAGCTTTCTCTCTTTCTGACAGCAGATTTCCATGCGTAAACTTATTCAGAAGCAATGGAAAAACAATCTTGCTGTGATTCTTCCCCTCATTTAAACAGTATATAATATTATCATCAGCATAAACATCGATTCCATTTGTATGGGGGGCAAGGGGAGGGGGCAGGAGAGTGTCACATTATGATTCCCAGGAAAATAACTGCTTAAGTAGGTGGACCGTAATGCCATGTTAGTGAGAGATTTGATTTTTGTTGTCGTTGTTTTTCTAGATGAATTTACTAAGTAGTCATCTGTGTTTTGCTGTTGGATTTCTGTTCTGCCTTCCATACAGGTTTCATGTTTATCTCTGTTCTGTAGGCTGAAGCTCGCCTTCTTGAGGAACAGCGTAGAGTTCAGGTATATCTCCATGAGAGCACACAAGATGAGTTAGCACGAAAATGTGAGCAAGTACTTATTGAAAAACACCTGGAGATATTTCATACAGAGTTTCAGAATTTGTTGGATGCTGACAAAAATGAAGGTAAGGAGATTCAAGTATTACTTTTAAACTTAGAACTCCTCCCTGATGATTTGTGAATAATGTAAATTCCGGAGATGGCTAGATGTGATTTGTTCAGGAACTAGATTAAAAGAGAAGATAGACACTAAACTGATCGAAAAGCAGCTTTCGATTAATTTGGGATGACTAAGGATATTGCCTCAAGAAGCCTATTTGGAACCCAAATATTAAGGCAAAACAGCACTAATTTTGATTTCTTTTAACATGGCTGAAAGAGCTTCAAGAACACTTGAACCATCCTTCCAGCAGGAGATAAAGCTTACATGACAGAGATGTGAGATGAAAAACAGACCAGTAGTCTTACCAGCTGTTGCAGTTTAATCCATTGGTCTTTCTGAGTCAACAGTAAGAATTCTAAAATCCAAATTGTTTAGAAGTGTGTATAGGAGATGTTAAAAGACAAATAGAAGCAAATAAGGAGCTTCTAAGATATAGTACACAAAATATATAAAACAGCGTACAGGGCACAAGGAAAAGGTGGAAATCTGTAACTGATGAGATAATTTTAAGTGTGAAAATAAGTCTTACGTGCCACTAATGGATCAAGTTTATTACCTTCATAGAGAACACACAGAATAAAGATTTCTTCTGCAGTTTCTTCTAAAATAAGTAAAGATTATCAAAGAGTTTAGATGTCGTATTGTTTGAGTTTCTTCAGGAGTTAGTTCTTGGCACAACATCACAGTCAAAACTGGGGCCAGATAGTTCCTGTGCATCGTGCAGATGGTAAGATGAATGGTGTTTCTGATTGTTTCAGCTGGGGAATTAATTAAATCCATATAGGAAGTCATGGTCAGGCTCTATAGCTGAAATACTGCTTTTAAGAAAGTGACGGAGTTTGAGATACTATGTGATTAAGCTACTGTTGATGATACTGTTCATTTGAGATTTGTGCATTGCAACTATGACTCTACCTCTTTATGTATCAACCTTAAAAGAACAACAATAAATAATTACTGTGATCATCATGCTGACAACTAAGAGATGCTTCAAAACAGAAATGGGCAATTCAGCATGATTAATAGGTCAGAAGTTACCTGTTTCAAATGTAAATAGAAGATTTTTATCCTGTACTAATATTTAAGAGTCAGATGTTGTTTGTAAATGTATTTACTCTATAATTGGAAGGGATTTCGATACAGAGCATTGTTGACTAGTAAAATGACTTTATAAATGTCTTCTGACACTAGAAATAGTAATAGCACAAACAAGGACGTTTTCCTGGACTCGGAAGGCCTTCCCAGGCTTTTCATTTTACCCCTTACTTTATCAGGCTCATGGGTTCTGTGAGCCTTTAATACAATCACTTGACATAGTGATGCAATTCTGTAAGTTTGTTGGGGTAAAAAAGGAAAAGTAGTACCTTATGTCTTGGGAACTGTCTGGTTATATGCCTTTGGTTTTTACTTTCGTTTGGGTTATTTCTAAAATTTATTAGGTGTTTTTAAATGCCTGGTTTTTTCCTTCTTTTTCAAAATATTTTCTTTTCTCTTACTGAGTTTCACTTGTGCAATTTACAGTAGTTCCTGTTAGTAGTTTAGGTTTCATGAAGTCTCAAGATTAGAAACATTTATTTTGAAAGATTCTTTGAGAATTCATTCTTTAATCACTATAATCAGTTCACTTTCAAATTTGTAATACACTAAAATAGCTTATTGTAGACTATTGTAAACTTAGAATAAAGTCTTGCTCCAGAGTAAAATCTTTATTGCTTTGCTCTTGAAAGTACACTGGTTTTGAGGTCCTCCTATGAGAAGTATGTTAAGCATATCATGTTACAGGCTGCTCCTGTGGTTTTGTAACTTTTTAATCACATTGTGCAACTGCTTGTAAAGGTTGTGGGGCACATTTGTTGTGTGTTACCTGTTCACATCAGTGTGATACCTATAGGAAATAATTATGCTTATTGGGAGCAGGGTGTAATGATTTAAGTGGATTTACTGTGTAAATCTTCCTCGAGACTTTGTAGCATCTCTTCCGTATTTCATCAAATAGAGACATCTGTATAGCCCAACCTCTGAACCCTTATTTGTGGGCAGGTCTAGCAGCAGCTATTGTGTCTACGCATGGCATTATTTTCCTACCTTTTTTCTGAAATTCTGTAGGTAAAAGAACAGCATTTTTACGTTGTTGTGAAAGTTTAACATCAGTTTGCAAATGTGGTTTTCAGAGAGAAAAAAATATTTGAATGTTTGCTTTTCAAATCCAAAGGTTTAGCTTGCTGAAGTTCTAAGGAGTGGAAAGAGTTACACAGAAATGGGTCGGAATATAGGTGTCATCGTATCAGTAATAAAGGCATCAAGTTGTGTTGTATTTCAGTTAGGTAGCTATGCAGCTGCTTGATTGCTCTGTTTTATTTAATCTAATAATCCTCAGGTGGTAATAAATTGCTCATAAGCCCTTCAGACAAGTCCCTACACTTTAGAAGTGCTAGATGCAGCTGACAGCCTTAAGGTGGATTCAATAAGGTGACAGATCCTCATTAGTTTACAGTAACTAATTTGGTTGTTTACATTTTCACTTGAGTGCCTGTTCAGTGAGGGCAAGATTACAAGAGGTGGGTTTGTGTACTTGGTTTATGGCCATATTAAAGTTTGCCTTTTTTTAAAAAAAAAAAAGAAGTTCTGCAGTCAAAGTTTGAGGCATCTCAGCCGTTGAAAACAAATAATAAAACTCTCTTCAATATCAGACTTTCCAGAATTACTAATTAATTTTGGAAAATCTTGGCTCAAAACTGGTGAGATTTTAATACAAGGCTTTAAAATATGTGAAATTATGCCCAATTTATTTTTACTTTTAGCTTTGTTTCATGGCAATGCTTTTCAGAAGCTTTTATTTCCTTGAGATACAGTTATTTCTACTGGTAATCAGTTGCTTAAACTTTTTTTTTAAGACATGGCTGTGGTGGGTTAGGCTGCTCCGGCAAC